GGGGGGGGGGGGATTACTTGGAAATATGTTCAAATTTTATACAGATCAAGTACTAACTCAGGTACTTCATCGGTATCCATGGATTTTGATTCATACATTAGTTATTGTGTGTGCTAAAATATAATATTAAAAGCGTGCCCATTAAATCGCTTTGTATTAGATTTGTGCCATGATACCAAAAGGATACGATAGGGAATATGTTTTCCTTAGCGACATAAAATATCCTTTTCATATTTCGGTTACACGAAAGTACTCCTCGATCATATTAATAAATCAATGACAAATTCAAAATAAATTTTCAAGTAGCTATCACTATATTTAGTGACACGTTGATTATTACTTGAGGATGTATAGTAATGATGTAGTGGATGCAGCAGATACCCTACAATCTCAAAATCAGAAAGGTTCTTCCGTCTACATCATAAAGTACGATCGCAGAAGGTTTCTTTACGCACGTCTACGACATTTGTAAGGCACGTCTCATAGAGGCGAGAAGATCATTTTTTTAACTCAAGTTTCATAGAAGTTTTCGATTAGTCTGGCGCATTTACCAAGAGACAGTACTTAAAAGGATAGACTTCACTTGAGCGATAATATACTATTGTAAACAACTAAAAAGGCCGTGTGTGGTTTATTTCAGATACCAATAATCGAGACATTTTTAAGACTGCTCACTTACATTAATCTGTAAGAACCTGACGTCGTTAGTTTTAATCTTTGTTATACTGGATTCCCAGTTTTAGTTGCATTTTTGAAAGACTCATATTATTATTTTAAATATAGCTTTTCGATGTTGTGTGCATTAGGATGTCACGTATCACTTAATCGCACGAACAGTAACAGGGTAAATCAGATGTTTTATTAGGACAAAAAGTAGAGTAAAAAGTAGCTGTCATCGTAGATTACAGAATGGATTCTTGTCTATGTTATTTCGATCTGAGAGTTTTTAGGAAAGAATGAAAATAGATAAATATTTATGAAAACATTTTGTCGTTTCTAGCAAATAATCTATCTGTGAATATCATAAAAAATCAGCACGTGCCGACAATGAGTGACACCAATGATGACTTGTTGGCCTTGAAAATCAGACAGGCGAAGCTCAAGATAGATTTTGGCGAAATTCGAGAAACAGGGTATACTATTTATATTCGCTCGGACTACGCAAGTCGGTACAACTTTGCTGTTAAACGATATAATGATTTCGAAACTGATACCACTAAAAAAGAAGCGATGCATGCGCGGAGGACATTCCTTTCTTTTAGCTTTCGTTTTCCTCATACTCATTATCGGATCATTTGTATGCTACCATTATTTAACCGAAAACAAGGTCCTAGGGGTTGCACCGATTGTCATTTCGATTATTTATCTGATAATTCATTGTTACAATTGGCATATTCATCGAATAAATGGTTCTATCATTCATGAACGCATGGTAAAAGTACCTGATCGATATCTACGAAAACAGGTCAATATGTTTATTGCAATACCCATACATGCACGTATTGAAAATCGAGAAATTATTGCAGTAAGTGATGAATCGACAACAGCCTTGTTGACCAAACTGCAAGAACGTTATCGCCATCTAGATGAGCTTATAATTATGCTCTATAACAGTACATATGCGATGAGATACGCATGTTCCCCTTTTGAAAGCATTCTACAGTTTTTATTGTTCGCAGGAATTTTGATCTTTTTCACTTGGAAACTATTCGAAACAAAAATAAACTCAATATTGTTTGGTTAATCATGAACTATAACATAATACTTCTATTCAAACGATTTAATCATTACAAAAGAATTTTTTCTATAATGCATACATTTATTAGTTGACGCTAAACGTTTTCTTTATTTTTATTGTTTCTTTGATTCTCTTTCATCTATTATGCAATTTGTAGGCTACAATTTACTCATGATTGATTTACTATTATTGCGTAATTGTTTTTTTCTCTTTCTGATTATTATTATCTTCTTTTCTTGATTATTATTGTTTATTACTGTGTTATATTTTCATTAATCGAAATAAAACATTATTCAATGTATTTATGATTCGAATATTCGTACAACAAAAATAGGGTAACCCAGGTCGAAGAAAGAGGACCTCAAACGACCGTATATGGTAGAACACGTTGCATAAACACTTGCTTACGGATAACGTTACGGGTTCTTACAATGATCTGTTTTGATCGACCTGGAAGTCGTTTTTATACGCGAACTCATATTCAATGGAGATACCATCCCCATTTTACATGTAACAGGTCTACCTAATTTTAAACTATATACAACAACAACTAAGAGTCTCACAATTGGTGGAGAAGTTGAGCTTACATTAGTTCGTCTGTGTACCACATTCATATATATCCAATCGAACTGTTAGTGGATATATTAATAACTGTTAATACGCCCAGGTCGATTGTTACGGATCACAGCAAATTACCCGTAATTTTACTGTAAACGGCCGTTTTTGCATCCTATTCTATAGAACATTCGGTCATATTACTGCCCGTTTATATATATAGTATTCTTCGACCAAGGACTCTTCTTGACTTCGATTATCACCTTGATTCTTGAATTTGATTAGTAAATGAGAAGTATCATCATTTGCTTGTGCCATATTTATGTTGATAATTTATCTTTAATCATTATAATCTATTGAAAGAAAAAAATCCTCCTATAATAATAAAGAAAAATGTAGTGCATTTACTTTCTCTTCTTACACTAAATACGAACAAGTGTTATATAAACAAAAGAAAAAGAATAACTGTCAAATGTTTTGGATATAAATAACAAATTTTTCCTATAGTACATATCAAACTAAATCTCTTTTCATTCCGTATGAATATCAGAAAGAAGAACTTTTTTGCTATGGTTTTGAACGAGTTAATATATTTATGCAATGTGCTTGTTCAACTAGAAAAGTATCAAGACAATGTGGTAAAATATCCAAGCATTGCTCTACGTCTATTTTGACCATCATTCCTGTAAACTCAATTTCATATGTCCATAATTGATCATTGAATAATACAGTATTTTATCTTTCGACAATGACAATCCATTTTCCCTTGATGTTTAACAAATGATGAACCTGACAGAATACAGGAATTATTCCTTCAGCCTGTGCAAGATGATGAATAATCACTGCTTTTCGTCTATGTTGATATGATGGCAATAAATCTGCACACATTCACATATCGAATCTTCTAATTGAAACAAATTTTCACAGTTGTCTTGTTGAAGCGACGCTGGTGTTCAAAATTTCCTGTAGGACGCTGGATATTAGCCAAAATCATTTATATATGTTGTGCATCACAAAGAATGTACTCCTGCATTTTGCTCTATCTTCAGACGATACAGTAACGCGACTTTTGCGTTTACAGTAATCGACAACAGTACGGAGTACTCGTTCGCACCGAGAGTGAAGAATGAATCTGTACTCGCAGCTGTCATGCTGTCGGATAATAGTCTTTGTGATCGCAAGTTGGGTGATGGATACGAAAACGCTCAAACATGAATCGCGTTTGGAGCTTTTAAACATGTTTTCAGAAATTCTTATCTGTTTGGATGCCGATGATGCATCAGGGGTGGGTGTGGGTGTGATGAGAATAAGTATACCCAGACTCATACCCACACCCTCTGAATGCTTTTGGAAAAAGTTACAAAAAAAATAACTTCAGAATATATTTTAATGAAAATTCAGTCATATAATATGACACTCATCTAACTTTGAATGTCACTACGAAGTTAGAGGCTTGTTTCTACAGAAATAATACCAGACTCACACCATATGATGATTTTTTCTTGGTTGTTTGTGTCATTGACTTTGAAGTAAATGCCGATTTCGATGGTTTAGTATCTTCAACATAAAAAAAAATTTATGCCAAAAATTCATGAGAAACATAGTACATATAGAATTATCTCAATATATTCTCATCAAATAAAAGCGTGTTAATGAAGAAATGTATTTTGCACTTACCGATAGCGTTTTTGTTATCTGCTTTTGATGATAATTTCAGAGCAGCCATAGCATTTGGCAGTTGTACTTCATGACTGTCATATACTTCAGCCAAGTGAACAACGTCCGAACCACCTTTATGATGCAAAGCATTGCTTTTCACACGTAGTTGAGTTCCTGGGTGTAGTAAGACTTCCTTTCCATCAGGAAAATTTGTATAACCACTGATATCTTTGGCATTCTCTGCTTCAATCATTAAAAGAGTGGTGTTCTCTTCTGATCCGAGAAAATCTTGCACGACTTTCAAAGATATCGAACAATAATTTATACTCCACCATGTTAATTTATCACCTTCTTTAAATTGTTGACTAATATCTCCATGAGCACCTCGCCAAACACATTCTTGGACGGTTGGCCATTTAGAGAGGCCTGTATCAAATAATTTAAGGAACCCAAACCAAGGTGCAGCTTCTCGGCGATTTTCAGAGCGCAGCGTTTTGTTCAATATACGATAAGGACTCTTATCACCACCTTCCATTGTGTATAGAAAGATAACAGCCAATTCCTCTCATGACAGTTCATATTTTGATGGATGGTAACAATATTGTTTTGCTTCTTTGATCGATCGATCTAACTGATCGAAACGATCCATAACAGGTTGCAAAGCTTGTTCGAGAGGGAGGAGCGAATTCTGCCAGTAGGCATCAATGGGTGGGAGCTTTTTATTACCGATCTCAATGTCTAAGAATCGGTTCATCTTTCTAGAAATAGGCTATTCTAACAAGGCCTTTCTCAAAATACTGCCTCAACAAATCCAAAGTAACGTACTTGACTGACGTCGCAGAAATAAAAGATGATGTTATGTTGGAACCTTCAAATTTTTACTTTCATGCACAAAAAACAATATCAAAACGAACTGTTTTTTTTTTCTTTCTTTTACTGAAAATTTCGAGTCACAACATGAAAATATGTATTCAAAAGAAAGAATATCAACGTTGAAGCTCGATAGACACTGTTGATTACTCTCCTTCCTATTTCAACGCTAGCAATTTTTTTTCTTCCAACATTTCTCGTTATTGATTGTTTGAGTTACAAAAATTCAATTATTGTTTGCAACGCAAAATACAAAAGCAAAAGAAACAATGCTATAGCAACTGTAACACAAACATAAGTATTAAGTAAAGTTAAAATCATGTTGAAAATATGTGAATGATTTTGCATTGAGTGAACAGCATAGATGATTCAGTCATTCATCTTGAAAATTAAAGACTTAGAAGACCATTGATGCATATGAAATTAAAAATTATTAAACTTACTTTGATGTGTGCAATATATCTCAAAAATAATGATATTTTTTGCTGAAATCAAAACAATAAAATTTCAACTTCAATTTAGATTGCTTATATCTCAGTCATATAAGAGAGAGTCCACTACAGGATCGAGAAACCCCATACTCCCAAAAAAAAATTTTTTTTTTACGGATTAAAAACTTTTTGTTTTAGGCTGGTTTTGTAGCTTTTTTATTTGCCCATCCGATGTACGATCCAAATTTCTGGGATCAACTAATCTTGAGAGATAATTTCTCAAAAATACTGATTTTTGCTTGATAACTACGTCGTATCAATTTTGACTTAATCAGTGTGTAGTCATCAGTGTGGTCTGCATAACTTTTTTGTTATATAATCAATCGAGCAAATATTTTGGGTAGAGTAGTTTCACCTCATGGGCTATCGATTCCACAAATAAAATGAGGTGGCCAAAATTTTCGGGAGTATGGACCCTTTAAAAATTCCTCGATGATCTCATGGACGCCCTCATAAGCACTTAGGATTACGCGAAGCCTACCATTTGAAAAATTGATTCCTCAGATTTCTCCAATAAAGTTTTCATCAGAGAGGTTTTTCAGATGGTTGAAATATCATTCTACCTAAGAATACGCTACATAATCTTCATTGTGTTGTTTTGTAATTCGTCTCCATGGAAATAACCTGTAGATTAGCGGATTTACTAGAAAATTTTCTCAACATACCCATAGATTCATGAATATCTTTCAAGAATTGCAGCGTGTTTGCCTGCATTAAACTGGTAATACAATAATGTAATGATGTCGCCACTGTATACTACACTAAGCACTGATATGCCAATGAGTTCAGGTGTTCTTCCTATCCAGCACTGAACGCATTAGAAATCATATTTCTTACTGAAAAAAGAAAATTTCTATACAAGCATTCAGCAGTGGAAAAATGTCAATGTTTTTTTTTACAGAAAACAACTGACATCTGTTAATCGCATAGATCAAGAGGAAAACATTGTCAGTCACAATGACTGATTACTTCAAAAATTTGACAAAAAACTTGGTTCCAGGAGCATTATTGATAATTAGCCACAAGCGTTATGAATATGAACTTGAACTTTTGAAACCTTTACAAGAATGAATGACAGAGATTCTAGTAATTCTACTTTTTTTCTATATGAAAACTTCTTATAGTATACTTCATAAATCGAAATTAAATCGAGAGTGTGGGTGTGGGTGCCTCTTCTTTCCACATATACCTACAAAAAACGTCCACCCACACCCTTTGTTCGTGAATTAGATAAAATAAGAAGAAAAAATGGCTATGTTATCAGATCATTGTTTGAATCGCTCCATTTTTCTTAAGATATATCATGTGGAGTACTGTTGCAATCATTAACAGTAGTTAGTCTGATCTTGTGAGAGATTCTTTACTGATTGGTATACACTTTTTTTCATTGGTGCATATTTTTTTTCGCATATCAAACCAGTTTATTGATTCCAACGACTATTCCAATGGAGAAACATGCATTCGAATATTTCTATTAAGTGAATATTCATCAAAATACGTCTGATAATCACTTTGATATCAAGTTATTTTATTGAAATACGATGGAATCACTGTTCATCATTGTAATTTATTGTATATTTATTCATTCTTTTTTAATTTCGTATTATTCATGTATATGAATGAATATTTTGTATGAATTGAAAGAAAAAAAAAACGCGTTTATATTTACGAAAGAATAGAATGTCATATCTATTAGATCTATAAGGATTAATGGTCAGAGTAATTATCTCTTATGAAAATAGAAGTATTATTCTAATGGATGTTTTCTTTTAATTATTAGACACGTTTTTACCATGTCCATAGCAAATAATTTCAACTAACTTGTTGATTTTGTAAAATCAATGGTTTATTTGCATTACATGAAATGTTATAGAATTTCTTAAGACTACAATAGACTATCACGTAGATTATTTAATTATCTGACGAAGAAAACAAGTTTCAAATTTCTTTAAATATAATAGTGTCATCACAAAAACAATGCTTTAATGTCATATTCTAATTACTAGGTCATGTATGAAAGAAAATTCCTTTGACTTTTTTTTTTGTTTGAAAAAAGTTTGACCTTTTTATTTGTTTGATTTCGACGAAATTCGAAAGACTATTGTGTGAATCCAAACAAATGAATGAAACAATATTATCAGCAGAACCATCACTTATTCGTCATATAAAATTATATTTATTTATATCAATTGAATTACCATCTATATCTATATCAATTTATATCTTTTATAAATTCTATTATTCACATGAAATTCGTTCTCGTTTAAATAATCATTCAATAATAGCATTACTTATTATTTCATTTATTGAATTAACAACTGAATTACCCATCACACTTCAATATCTTGGTTCGGGTCATGTTCAACCTAAAGTTAAACGTTTTTGTCTATTTTGGATTTGGTATTATTATACACTTCAATCAATAAGTTTATTTCTAATGGCCTGGACTTCTATTGAACGTCATATACTTATATTTCATTCAAGTCTTGTTCTAACATCAATTGGAAAATTAAAATGGCACTATATACCATTAATGATTTGTATTATTTATATACCTATATTTTATTTTTTTTCTATTATTATTTATCCATGTGAAACTTTTTTTAATTATTCATTACATTTATGTGGTTCAATTTGTTATCATAGTATAACATGGTTATCAACTTTTGATTGGATAACAAATATATTAATACCATCATTATTTATATTATTTGGAAGTATAACTTTAATGATTCGTATTTTAATTCAATTTAACAAAATGAAACGTACATTAAATTGGCGTACAACACGTAAAATGACCATACAATTAATATCAATATCAAGTCTTTATTCAATATTTTGGATTTCCTTTACTTAAATATCAATTATTCGTCTATGTTTTATTCCAGAATTTCTTGATAAAATAACACATTATTATTTTCATTATTCACCTTATTTTGTTCAACTTTTAATGCCATTTATATGTTTAGCTTGTTTATCTGAATTATGGACTAGAAAAAATCATATTGTACCAATATCATGATTAATAATTGAATTAGAATTTATGATTGCATTTTACAAAGCAGAATTACTAATTGTTCTCCTTATTAGGAATTCATTGATATGACACACTTGTATTGAACTTACGAGAGAAGTCTCCTAACTGATTGTATATCATATAGATTCTAATAAACTATAAATTTATTAAAAAAGTACCTAGCAGAAAAACTGACTTTAGAAATTGCTTCTATCCTAAAATAAGAAGATCGGAATCTATTGATGTATAGCAGTAATATAAAAAACAAAGACCTAAAACTCTCACAATACACTGTTTTGATCAGGTCTGTCTCTATGCAAAGTTTCAAGTTTGAATTGGAAAATCAATTTTTTCCGATGTTCCTGAAGGAGAATACGATATTCAGTTATGAAACACTATAAAAATGCAGTATCCTTCGCAGCAATCAGCTAATCACTCGAGTATCATGTAATACAAACAAACATTCATATAAAACAGTATCATCATAATGAACACTAAATATGTTTCTCGTCATTGTCTGATTGTATTTTTTCATCTTGTTCATTGGCTATTGATTTGTTTTTCGCTTGTAAATATGATTATAATAAATCCTATGATAATATACATTGACTTGAAATAAATGATAAAGAAGTTGTCTCTTCTAATTTGATTCGCAAAATCATTTTAAATCGGTTAATTTTTCATTTAAAAACATAATTTTATCTTTTGTTTTTTTTAGTAATTGTTGCACCTGAGTAGACATTTTAGGATCAAGATCGAGACCAGGAGCATACTAGGTTAACTGTCACTTGGGCCAGCACATGTCTAGTCTCGACTTGAAAGTATTTAATCAATTAGGAAATTTCTCTCGTTAGATTTATGTAATATGAACGAATAAGACACCGGAAGTATGACATTCTATTGAATATTGACATTGTATACAGACTAAATTGCAAATTTTCTAAAATGATTACATACAAATATGTTGAATTTTAATATCCAGGATTGGACTGAAATAATGAAATTACTATCAAATATCAATTACAAAGTAAACATTTAGAATCATACAATTACAACTTATCTCACTCTGGAGTAGGTATAACATGAACAAATTGACAAAGGCTATTTTAGAGAGAGTACAGCATCATTTTATTGTCGATAAAAAACAACATGCAAATAGTCAAAATTGAGAAAAGCAAGAAAAAAAACGGTCATAAATACAATACTGATGCCAAACATATTAAATAATCATGGAAAAATAGATAATAATAAAAACAAAAGAATATGTTACAAACACTAGAAAAGATAAATCAATCTACGGAGACAGATAATTAATGACATAATGGTATAAGACACTTTTGACTGAGGTTAAGAGATAATATTACAATCGATGTTTCAAGTGAAAAAAATAATTGTGATTATGATGTTATCAAAAGAATATTAAACGATCCGGTCATTGATAAATCTGTCGAGGATCTTCGTAATGATAGAGCCCAAATAATAAACAATCATTCTCAACAGTTTTCGAAAATACTAAAAGTACAGCAATCAATTGAATCTCATTATCTTCAACAGAGCAATATAGATTTGTGTGAAGATATGAAATACACGAACATGAAGTTAAAAAACAATAGTGAAATGGCGGATGTGTAGAGAAAAGAAAAAAATGAAGCTGAAACGACTTTGTTGTAATTGTTCTTTGAGAAAAGAAACTTTTGAATGACAGATTTGAAGTTTGATCTGAGTAAGGAAGAACTGACAAAACTATAGTTGAAACAACGAAGCTACGCTTAGATCGGCAACTTGCAGAATAAACTTATGAGTATTTGAATTATCAAATAATTAGATTCCGTGTCAATATTATATTAAATTATTTTTTGATGATTGAAATCGAGTAGATCGTGGAGTGTAATCTCTCTGTAGATAATTATAACGAGTTGAATATGACAAAACAGTGTCTGACAGTTATGAATAATACTTAGTCAATATAAAAATTACTCACCACAAGTCAAACAAAAGCGAAAAAACCAGCGAATGTGTCTAGTGTTTCGAATCGACAGAACGCAAGAAACATGTTGAAGGCGTGGATGAATGTATGCTTATTCATCGCCAGAAGACATACGAAACCAAACATTATATTTCGATTCAACAAATAGTGAGTATGCATTTTGTCATGTGAAAGGATAGAAAACATTTTTCAACTAAGTTATTGTGCACAACAAAGATAAATAACTCCCTGAAGATTAAATCAGAACAATACACTTTAAATATTCATATAATCATCATAATTTCATAGTTACGTTTTGTACTCTTGCAGTCAAGAATAGAGATGATTACGATTTCATAGTAAGAGAGGATTTAAAAAAATATCTATGACTTTTCTACAAAAACTGTATTGATGTGAGCGAAAACTGCAAAATTAACATTACCATATTCCATTTATTTTGTTTTTTTTTACTGAGGATAAAAAAAGAAAGGTTTATAACAAAATTATATGAATTAGTATGATGAAAACTATAAAAAAATCTGATTCTAACATAAATATTTTATAACTAACCGTTTTGCAATACAGCTAGATATCTTCTATGCAAATCCACGAATCTTATGAGAAATTGAATTGAACGATAGCTTCAATACAAAGATATTGAATATCGCACAATATTTTCTTTTCTTACTTTCTTGAATAAAATCTTAGTTGATCTTTGCCTTAAAATTTTTCTAGACCATTTTAGATTTTCTCAATATCATGAGACCTATAATATTTAGAAAATGTTTCAGATTTTATATTTAAATGAATGCCTAGTCTAGAGTATAAAATACTCTAAAATGATCATGCTTTGGCAAGAAAAGATCTGTGAGAATGTATTTGTAACATAATTTATCATCAATCTCGCCTCACATGTGTTATACGATTTTTATGCTCGCTGCATTTTTATTTAACGCTATATAAGGGCACATGCACAGAGAAAGAGCAGTATGTGAAGAAAGAACATAGTTAAATGCCACAAGCGTTGGTAATTCTCCATTTATCGTTATAGACTCCTAGACTTACGTTTTTTTAGTAGTCTCTAACTACAATCAATTTTCTAATAATATTTTCGTGAAACTTCAGTGGCAGAATACACTTGTTGATTATTTGAGTTTTGTAATCATGAAGCATAAACATAATAGTCTGAGTTATCATATCATAATTACAGTTAAGATTAAAAGAATTGAACAAATTTCTGTCATGAAACCGAAGATAAGATTTACTTCTCTCAGTCGAAAACTTTAATATATGAATTGGGCATGGCGTTTCTTAGATCGCAATAGTTAATTATGCAATGAAAAACTCAGAGCAATCGAAAATGAAAATATATATACTTCACCGGCGTGTTTAGATCGAGAACTCGACTTGCATTAAATTGTTTGTGTTCATCTATTTTTCTTTTATTGATTACGTAGGAGAACATTCACATGTCGACACACACTGTAGTTGCAGGAGATACATTGTGGGCCCTCGGTCACCGCTATGGATTCACGGTCGATCAACTGCTAGCTGCCAATCCTGGAACGAGACCTGAATCATTACAGATTGGACAAATTCTAAATTTACCTGGAATGCAGCATGGAGGTATAGATCGATCATTTTTCTGTTGACTTTTCTAATCTTATCGTTTAATTATCTATTGCCTATCATCCACAAAGTATTTATCATTCCAGGTAGCTCATCGAACAACATGTCAACATACTGTGTCGTAGCCGGTGATACCCTCTGGGGTATTAGCCAACGATATGGATGTACAGTTGATGCATTGATGGGTGCCAATCCTGGAGTAAGACCCGAAGCATTGGCAGTGGGCCAAATCTTGAAACTACCATTCGGAGGTAACTTATTCGACAGAAAAAAAAATAGGCATTTCGTCTAGTTAATCTCACAAGAGCCTATTAGGTATTCAAAATTAACAGTCAATTATCCATATTGATGATAGCTATAAAAATAACTCTTTTGGACGTCTACTGGTCAATTCTCACATACATCACAATATTTTTATTCCAAAAACGATGTAGCCAGTAGATTAAGTGCTACCTTGCAATAGTATTTTGATAAACGATCAAAGACGACTAAAATTGAGAGAGTGAGCTATGAAAGTTTATAGATCGAGTCATAAAATGAGGAGGCGAATTATAACCTGTACTCGACTATTTGTGTAAAAAACAATGCCTATCTATCCGTCTATGGTTTCTGCCAAGAGTGAAACATGAATTGATCCGGAAAAAATAATATAAATACATATGGATATTTTGCTAAATGAATACATTTTTTTTCTACTTCAAAGCATCCAACAACACATTACCAACAAACATATGGCCATCTCCTCAAGGACCGTTACTACCAACAGGACGAACACCTAACAATGCTCGGTTAGATACAACGTTGAGTGAAAGAGCTCCATCTCCCATTGGACAGCTGCGCGATTTAATCAATCCTACAGCACAAGCAACGGATATGCCAGCTGATCTCATCGGTGCTGTCATCTATCAAGAGTCTGGAGGCAATATAAATGTTAACACGACAACAAATCCTGGCAATTTTGGTGTTGATTCGGGTGTCATGCAAGTCAATGAGCATACAGGTGCTGAACTCCAACGAAAATATCCACATCGTTTTGTTGGTCTTTCCGGTACAGCAAAGGAAATTATGCTTGGTGCCAGCTATCTTAAGGATATGTATGACACGATTGCAGACCGAGACTGGGGCATAACACTTCGTGCTTATAATTCAGGTCCGAACGGCGTTGATAAAAATAATCTACGTGCAAAACCAGCTGGTACGGGTGATAGCACTTATGTTGATAAGGTTTTGCGTTTTTGGGTTGACATTTCACAAGGCAATCCATTACCACCAGATCACTATGCATCAATCTACGGCAGAGGCTTTTGAGCTATTAGCAACACTTTGTATTTCGTTTGCAAGGAACGTTTCTTATCTTTTCTGACTTTAACCATAACACGATTATCTTTTGAACTAGAGCTTTTATTAACCATTTTGAGTTTATATGTTAATCGAAAACTTATAAGATATCAATAATTCAAGCATTTATGAATATTGTATAAAGTAACTGTCAAGTTGTTGTTAAACTCCTAACAATAAGACAAATAAACACGAGAGCGATCAATATGATTTTTATCTTCTTTTTTGTTCATTTTTTATCGTGACCTACTCTTAACACGTTTAAGATAGGAGGCGAACGGAAAATTGGTATTTGAACAAGTACTAATTGTCAAATGATTTTGGAATTAGAGTTTGGATACGAGATCAGATGATGTCCTGTAAATACGGACAAAGGTTTTCTTTCACATTCACCCTGATGTCCACGTCCAAACAGAGCCACTCAGAGCCGTCCTATGGGTAGGTTCGACTTTGTCCTTGAATGAAGCTAATTGTTTTGAATCGAATGACAGTACGGCCCTGCATGCTACATTTTACTATGAAAATAAAAATTTTGTTCAGCTTCTCTTGATGAACGAGTGTTTGAAAAGGGTGTGTAGGTGTGTATGAGTGCTCGTCCTCTTTTTATCCACAATCCGAGCCATAACCATACCCATAATGACACCTCGACCAGTGATAACTTTCTTTTATGTAGAAAAACTTTTCTTTGTTTTTCGCGTCTTCCTCTTTCTCTATATTTTCTCTCCCACAGTAAAAAAAAAAGAAAAGATACCCGTGTGACAAACTAAATGAGTTTGAAGACGAGTTTTGGTTATGCAAGTTAATTTATCTAAGTTCACTTTCCATTTGACTTGAAGAGTGGATGAGGTTGTACTAATGTTACTATAGATTCTTTCTTGTAGGATTCTAAATTTTTTCTCTTCTTTCGATATTCCTATGTAAACGCTTTCGAAGGCAACAAGAAAAGACAAAATTTTAAACACCGATCATCAATAGTTTATGTGCTTTTATGAATACAACACAACATCGAAGGTCCACAATAATCTAGTCTTGTACAATTGATTTTTTTCACTCTCATCTGAAGTTGTTTGAACTTTAGAGAACAGCGAAAATAGAGTTTCAAAATGTTTCATTTAATGCTGCATTGTCATATTTATTCGAAAATGTCCAGGTTTCACTGTTGCCGTAAAATGTCGAAGTTGACGTTGTCGACGAAGTATTTTCTCTTGAAATTTTCTGTTCACACCACTTATCGATGCAAGACAAATAAAAGGAAAGAGAAAAATGACAAAATAACAAAGAAAAAAGAAATACTGTTCAGCTTCGACTCCAATATCTTCTGACAAACCACATAAATGAGCAATGGTAAGAATACTAATTGGAAAGGTCCCGGTCATGTTGAGAGAAGAGAGTGACATAAGCTGAATAGTCATCTTCCGCTGTTTGCGCCATTGTATTGGTAAATGAGAACGATGTTTCTGCCAGAAGACTCGAACAAGAAAAGCAAAACTAAAAAGTGCTTCAAGAAGTGATGGCAAAGCAGTATTGACAATCGAATCCCACATGCCCATAATTGGATCATTTAGATAGCATGGAGACCCATTGCAGAATGGTAATGTATAATCGTAAACATTCTCGCAGGAAAAATAGTAAACGGCATAAATATAATAGATAAAAATATACAATAGTAGAAAAAGTAATGGCAAATAGTGTACCAGTATACGTTTTTTTCTCGTTGAAATCCATCGATCATGAAACACGATAATATGTCGTTCCAGCGCAGTCCAGGCTAAAAATATGACTCCTCCATTGTACAAGCCAATATCCACAAACCACCATAAGAGACAGATCGAATCGTTCGATGGAACAACACTCGAATGTACAATGAAATTGATATAAAAGGGAACATCAATTAATTGAAGACTTAAGCCAAGGATGAGCAAAATGATGAGAACATGGTTCTTCACAGTAGAGCGTAGTTTTCGATCAATAAAGACAGAGAAGAGAACGAAGAATGCACAAATGGTAGATGGAACATCAAAGAGAAGAAGAATCCAAAAGCGAGCAGTACGTGGCAGAGAAATTTCTGTATTGGCAAATGAAATGAGTTCTGTATCGTTTGAACTTTGATTGTCAGCCATTACGAAAAGTTTCTAAATAACAAAAGGATAACTTGATAGAGCAGAGGAATCTAAAATGCACATTGAATGCCGCTTAGATTTAAAAAGTAGCTGGTTATCAGATTCTCTCAAAAAAAGTGACTCGTGGCATCATCCCAACAAATTCCATAGTCAGCCCACGTAAATGAATTTGTAGAATTAAACACGATACATAAAAGTAAGAACTTAGCTGATCTTTGTCGCTTTTCTCTATTTTATAGCTTCCAAGTCGAAGCAACGTTTGAAAAAGAATTTTTTTCTAGATACCTTTCTTTTTGGCACTATTTGAAAATACGAAACGATATCGTAGTGCATTTGTCACTATGACATAGAAGACGCTTAGATACATATAGGTAAGTACGAGTCATAAGACTAATCAAGTCAATTAGACAGCAAATGTTATGAGTTTGTGGAAGACCGACAATACATCATTTTTATATAACATACTAAAAACTAAGACATTGTTATAACTAGATGATATTAGTTTCAACCGAATAATAGACAGTTCTAGTGGCATAAACCCAGCATAGATAATGGCAAACTATATTTCAACAGAGTTACTCGGTCAGTGACAAGTTATCGAGGCGGTGATTACAAATATACTAAATGCTATGGAAATAGTGTACTAAGCATAACTCATGAATGTATCTCGAATTCTTTTACTTAACCACCTCTAAAGCCGACCATGCGTAGATATTGTTTTCGTTCAATGAGAGCAGGTCGCCAGTGCTAAGAACTCTATGCGATGAAGTACACTAGAAAACGATGATCGTTTTTAAACATTTTACAGCCGCCACATTGCTGCACTAGCCCTGTACGTTAAAACGCTATAAAGCATCGTTTACAATTGTTGTAAACGATCATCATAAACCTCAGCTATATCCTATTCAAGATATGAAATGAACAAAAAATAGCCAGATATGGTGATACCATCTCTCGTGACACTTGTTTCACTCTTAACTCTGAAATCCATCAGTAATATCACAAATCATCGTAGCTATGTCACATACATCATCAACCGTAGATATTAACAAAACATGAGTTCAAACCGTGCGCATCAGTAGCGAATGTACCATCATTAGTATTTTGATAGTTTTATTGTTGCTGCCGAACCGACAATGTTCAATATTACCTAACTGTGCAGGTATCATACACCGTGAAAAGTTTTTATGAAGAAAATCGAAACGAACCCACCCATCAAAAGATTGAAAAGCTATCTGGATTATTATTATCGCATTCTGCCATCGTAGAATGCTTTTTTTTCAATTTACAATCGCAATTCTTCTGAATAGAACACTTTCTGTACCGTTTCAAACGTTATTGGAAGGATTAGGATAAAATTCTGTCCAAAGAAGATCGATTTCTTTGATATTCTCTAGAGAAATATCGAAAAATGAATTCTCCGAAGCTATGAATACATTACAGACGATCCAATATTATTCTTAGAAAGAAAAGAACATCTTCTCTATCGTTCTTCAAACTACCTAATGGTTTCTTATGAATAAAAATATCGATTTTTGAAAAATATGATGCAACCATTATATGGACAGATTGGATGATTAGCTTACCGTCACCGTCAATAATGATGTGTATTGAGCAAATTCACAATTTCAGAATATAATTACTTCATATTCAACACACGTTTATATAGAAGAGAGCAGAAAAACTAGGTGAATGCAGGAAAAAAGCCTAGAAAGATAAGATGACGATGAACGAGGAAAGGAAAGATCAGCAGGAGATGATAACAATATCATCACAATCATGATGATGTATTTTCTTGCAATATAAAGAAAAAGAGGAAGTCAAATTCTGACAAGCGAAAATATTTTCTAATGATGTCATTCATAGAAGAACAAGCAATAAACAATGACATATTGTGCTCTAAATTTAAGCTATAGTTAAATGACCTTAAAAGTTCCTTTTTCACAAAATATTCTATAAAAAGAAAAATTTTTTCTTTTGCTTTATTTTGAAGCTTATCTTTTTTTCCTTTTAGTTTTGTAAATAGAATGTCTTAAATGCGAATCTAGACGATGAAAGAGAATTACTACTAAATCCTAAAAAGGAACCAATTTGTTTCTTACAATTCTCTTTACGAATTTAACTGAGAAGATTTTTTTAAGGAAAGTGAATGAGGATTCTTGTGAATGATGAAATGACAAACAGTGAGAATCCATAACCGTACCTTGTTAAAACGTGTTTCTTTGACTATTATTCAACTGAAAAATCTTTCTCGACAAGATTATTTCGATTTGTTAAAATTTTACGTCAATGTCGACTTTTCATAGGATGAAATTTTTAATGAGGAAAAAAAAGACATTTTCACTTATCACAATCGATAAAAGGTTTTATTTTATTTTTTTTTAACATTCTTTGAATCAACACTTTACATATATAATTAATAAATAATTTGTATCAAAATGAAGAAAAAAATGAGATTAAATGAATATTGATAATTATGTATACTAAAACATTTGACTTGTTTAGCCGGTAGACATTTTTGATGTTGAACAGAAAATCGATGACCATGTTCACATGCTGTATAATTAAATGTTCGACTTTCAAGACATGTATAATGAAATTGACAATTAGGTCGATATTGATCAACATAATTACCATTTGGTTTATCTCGACAAACAGGTTTAAATTCACATAATGGAGAATTATCATAATCACCTTATTATAATAGAAAATAAAAAACAAATAAACAATCTGTATAGATAAATGAGAAAGAATAATCTTACAAGGATCGATACATTTTTCTCGTGAACCACAAGTAACAACTTGAAAATTTTCACATCGTTTTGTTTCAACAGAATAAAGTTTATGTAATGGACACACTTGTTCTTTTAAATGACCATTAATACATTCATAATAATGACAACAACTATGAGTAGCTACAAAACGTAATCGTTGTCCATTAGCTGGACATTTATGTTGACCTTTAAAATAAAACATTAAAAATTAAATAGAAAAACCAACAAAACAAATCACTTACAATGAGGAACATCTTTTGGCCATTGACAACCATGTTCTAATAAAAGAAAATTTTAGAACATTAAAATATCTATTCCAACTCATTTAGATTTCAAGAAAGCTTTTGGAATGCTCTAGATTTTTTACCTAATACTATTTAGTACTTTTTTTTTCATTGTTCAGGAATTATAGGAGACATTCCGATCCTCATTTGCTATAGAAGTGTACTCAATGTCATTTGATCCTGTAGCTAGAATCATTAAAATGTTGACTTAAAATTACATGTACTATTCTTTTTTTGACAAAAAAAAAACCATAATGTAAGTTTCACAAAATTATTCAACAATATTAACACTTACTCTTATCATAGAAGAGACCAGCATCACAAAACGATGGTTTGTCGACACCACCTATGATTATAATAAAAATTATTAAAAATTTTTTTTATTTTTCAAAAAAAAAGAGGAATTGCTCTCTAATATAATAATAGAAAAAAAAACCAATTTAAAAACCTACCACTACAATAATGGTAAGCTGAACAATCGTATGGATCAGGAAAATATTTTTGAACGCCTGGTGGACATTCAATAGGTAAATAAACATTTAATCGAAAATTTCTTGGAGTTGTAACTATATTTCCATCACCATCAATCATATTTGTTGCTGCTGTTGATGATGTATGTAAATTACCAGCTTTACCTATAAATTTATGAAATATATATCATTGACTAAATCAATATAAAGAAAATACTAACAATCAGATTTCTCTGGCCAATCACAACCTTGTGTTTCTGATGAATACCAAAGATTATTTAAACATTGTAGTACTTGATGTGCACCAATAGCACAAAAATGATATATATGACAATATTTTGGATCTAGAATAATCTTAATTATTATATAATAAATAAAATTATGTTATAAAATACCAGGAAAATATCCTTCAGCATCATATTCACATGTAAAATTTGAATCAACTTTAATTGGTGCATGAGTTGTTGTGGATTTTTTTTTTGCTCGCCATGCAAGTGCTGCATCAGTGGCGAATAACGTAACTAAGATTCAAAATAATAACAATAAATATTCAAGTGATGATTTAATATATATATATAACTGAAAAGAGAGAAGATTCGTGGTCATTAAAGTATATCGAAATTTTATTGATTAGCAATTGAACGATCAGATGAGTTGTTAATGGAGATTTTCGAAAACGATATTCCGAAACTATCTTTCTTTCGATCTACACAAGACTGATCTAATTCTAATTGACCTTTGATCACCCGAAAAAACATCAAGGCAATGGTAGTTCACTATGCTGAATTGAATGATGATATTTTGTTTAGTTTTGAACTAATTTGAAACTTTCATTTTAATATTTCCGAAATGTCGACTTCTTTGTTGCAATTCTCGAGGACTAAGTAAAAGAATAGTAAAGAAATCTATCTAAAATTTTTTTTTGACCTGCTAGAAAATATTTCCAATCAGTTTCGATGGAAAATTTTTCCACATATTTTTGTCTCTGTAAGAATTTTTGTATGTCGAAAATACATCTATATTTTCTTTTTTTCTTTCTAAATAATCATTTTTGGAAAAATCGAGCAACGTTTTTCATTGAATGGAACTCTTGAGTAAAGGCTTATAGTCGTTAATTGATTAAAAAACGTTCGAAGAGACTTATAGGCAACACAATATTAAAAAATAATTTTTAAAAACTTTTCGATCATGCATTAGATAGAATAAAAACTATTGACCAGTAATTTTTATTTACCTCCTCGAATATCTGTTATTTGATCCCATTTTCGTAGTCCTTTTTTACATTCAACAGTATTTTCCCATCCACAATTTTTCTTAATTGGATCCCATGCTGTACCTTCACCACAAACAGCTGCTGTATCAACACCTGATGTACATATATGATATATTCGACAATTTTGTCGATCTGGATAATAACCATCAGCTTGAAAAAAAAAAGTATTTTTTTGCTAAACTATATATCGATTGAAAAGTAAAATATATTAATTTTTACCTTTACAAACAAATGGAATTGTTTGTCGTTTAACACGATCTAATAAATTTTCATTATCATCATTTGGATTATAAAGATAAGAATTAGGTTTTGTTATAAATGATTGAATGATGTTGTTCGTACGAATTTTTGTTGTATTCTCTGCCAAAAACGTTGAATAAGTTGATTGATATTGCAAAATAGAATTGATTGATTTCGTTGATGTTTGTTTTTTATTCGTTGATTCATGTCGTTGTTTAATTGAATTTAATAAATAGTCTGATTGAATTGTATTAAAAAAAAAATTTATTAAATAAATTATATACCACCACCAACATTGACTATCCATATCTTATCCATTCCTTATATATTCATTGACCAAAATAAAATTCACTTGTTAGAATAATGATACAATAAAACTTGTTATTGTTTTCTTTTTTGTCTATAAGCTTTATTTTTTCTTTTCCGTTAAGAAAAAGGTGAACATCGTTTAATTGGACATATACACACCGATACACGTAATACATACAAACACCAAACTCTGTATTAGATCAACTGTATTTATTCGAGGTTTAATTGTGTTTTTTTTTTCGTTCATCTCTTTTCTATATGTGGATTCTTTATATCCGATGTAAGAAATAAAAATATAAAGAAAACAATCAAAAAAAATTAAACATACATCGTAAATACAACAAACGAACGAAATATAAAGGGATTAATTATAATGACGTAATAGAAGATTCTTGGTAAATGATCAAATGTGTATACTAAAGAAAGCAAATTGAAAAGGTTAAATAAAATCTTATATTCAAGTAGTTGATTGAACTTTTCTATTGTTATAACATAGAAGAGATATAAATAAAGATGATAATCTTATTTTATATCAAAAGACATGTTTTATCTTCAATCTATTGATGATGTGAGACGCCTATATATATAAACTATTAAAATTGTAATCTTAATAAAGAATCAGGGATATTTTGAGATTGAAAATTGTTTCGAAGATTTTGACTTAAATTGATTGAATGAAATTTTTTCAAGATTTTCAGCAACACTCCTATGAAAACTTTAACGTATCTATATTCTAATCATTGATCATATTGTTGTTTAAATCAATTGTTTTCTTCTTTTTACATATGATGAAAAATTTTTCATTCTCAACCAATTGTTCTTTTTATATTCTACTATTAATTATAAATATTCATTTTTATATTCTTATCTCTTTACTAAACAATAAAACATGAACTACAGCAACAATAGGCACATAAAATAAGAGTAGAAAAAAAAGATGAGAAAAAGAAACAAAATGTTCAATTTGATTATAAATCAAAGGTAATGAAGAAAATTATTGTTAGAACAAATGAAATCAACAAGCCGATATTTCGATGATGATCTAGAAAGAAAAAACAAAGAAACAAAATCATATTAAACATATAAAATTTAACAAAAAAAAAAAAGAACTACATTGTATTGTTGCACTTCCTGGAATATAAGTACCACATGGCATTGGAGCATTATTTGCTGGACCACATTTTCCTGTATAACTACTAAATTTGTGATCACCTGGACATTTAGCTTCACGCATTTTATTTTGTGATACACATTGATAATAAAAATGACAATCACGTTCTGTATCCGGATGAATACCATCACGTTTATTGATACCTTATATTTCATAATTAGAGTAAACAAAAAAAAAAGAAATAGAAAAATAACTATTTATGATTGATATTTTAAACTTACATTGATTTTTATCAGCTAAATTAGCTGCACGAGTTCCACAAAAAACTCGTTCATATTCCATACATTGACGTTTATCAGCATCAAATAATTGTCGTTCAGGACAATTAAGTCGTGTTCGTATACCTTTATCACATTGATAATATGAATTACATTCTAATGGATCAGCTACAGTATATATTCCTGTTGGTTGACATTCAATAGATGATGTACCACCACTATTACCATCTTTTCCATGTGTTGGTGATAGAATTAATCCCATACTTGGTTCAGATACTAGAGAATCAGTATCAGATTTTTTATGTGATGTTGTTGTATCTAACAAAAAACAAACAAAAATTAACTAATGAATAAATATGAAAAGAATTAAATAAAAATAATAAATCTCTTTTAAAAGAATTTCATGCCTTCTGTTGTGGTACTTGTTGAATAATCTATTTTCTTATCATCACAATTAACTTGATCAATCCATGCACATGATCTTGTTTTATCATCCCATGCAGTACCTTTTGGACATTCAAATCCTTGATCAACACCATGTGCACATCGATAATATTTCGTGCAATAATCAGGATCACTGATATTAAAAAAACAGAAGTGACATGCATATCTCAATAGAAGAAGAAGAAGACGAAATATCTTACGCAAAAAATCCATCACGACCAGAACAAAATATTTCAGCAGATGAACTTGCTTGACAAACAGTTAAACAAGAAGCTGGAATAGAAGTTCGATTGATCATTTATGAGAAGAAGAAGAAGAAACAAAGAAGGATTATATATTCTAAAGAGCCACAAGCATTCATGCACTAAAATTTAAATTCTCACGATCACTATCTTCTTCTTCTTCTCCATTATCACCATCTAACATTCTTTTATTTGAATTGATTTTCTTTTTTTTTCTTTTTGATTTACTAATAACAACAATAGGTTTATCATCTTTTGTTTCATTATTATCATCATCTTGTTCATTATCATCATCATCAGATAAAATTTTAGCTGTAGTTTTTTCAGCACGTGAACAATCTACATTATCAAGCCAATTACAACGATTTTCATGATGATCCCAAGCTGTTCCACTAGCACATTCAAATTCTTCTGATGAACCATGAATACAACGCCAATAAATATGACAAAATTCTGGATCATAATACCAACCATCATCTTTAGCTGAACAATCATATTCAGCTAATGTTGTTTTAAAAATAAAACTAGCTATAATAATAATAATAATAGCATAGCCAAAACTAAAAGCTAAAAATCATAGAAGAAGAAGCTTTTTATCTATATTCTAATATCTATAAATGTATATCTATGTTTATGAATATAGTTTGTTTCTTTCTTTTTTTTTTTTATCTTGTCTTACCAGAAAGAAGAAAGATTCTATGAAACATCATTTTTAATGTAGGAGAAAAAATTATTAAATGAACTCGATCATTTTCTTTTTTTCAATCAAGATATTTTTATTTCTCAAATATTAACTAAACGTGAGATAATATATGCTTACAATCACAGGGTCGTTTATGATGGTTCAGTAGTTGCATATTTTCATCGTTGAGGTGTTTTGTTGTTAGATGAAATAATGTTAGAAAAAGAATGTCAAACGATAGTATAAGAAAAAAAAAAGAAAAAGACGAAACGAATAATCCTTATTCAAAGAAATCAATCGATCTGTTGATGTTGATCTACTTTGTTCGATAGACAGACTTCTTCTTCAAAAAAAAAAAAAAAGAAAAAAACCGAAAAAGGTCACATTTTTCTTTCGTTCAATGTCTATTGTTTATTATACGACTGACAATCAATATTATGTGATACAATGTATATTTAACAACGAACAAAAAGATGAATATATATATATATTGAAATCGTTGATCGGTTTATTAAATAAACATATTCATTTTTAAGAATAATTGATATTTATCACTTCTAGATGATATAATTTATTTCGAAATTTGCAAAAATATTTAAATGAAACTAATTGTTAAAGTATATAACATTTTCTTTTATTATGTTTTTCTTTTTTTTTTGAGAGAAGATCATTAAGAAGAAAAATCAAAATTGAAATGCATGATAGAGATTCTTTTTTTGCATTAATCTGTGTTATTATTATATAATAACTTTTGATACTTTTATGGAGTCATTTTATAGTTTTTTTGTCTATTTTCTTTAGTTTAAGTCGATTATTTCAATAATATTAATATGAGTAGAAATAGAAAGTTAATTGGTGTTATTGAAAAATATTTTTTTCAAAATTTATCAAGAATGATTGATTCTACTACTATTTAAACCACAAATTTAACTTTTTATATCATGAGTGTAGTGCTTATAATCATTTATTATGCTTTCATATCATAAATAGGAGATGCAATATGTAGTACAATGTACTATTGGTGTTTTAAAATCATCTATGTCAACAAATACTTTTTAAAGAAAAACGTTTTCATCAATCATTGAATATCGGTGTGACCATGAAATACAAGAAAATATTGTCAAAACATATATATTTTATTGAAGAAAATAAATATATTTCTACAAAAAAAAATAATCTAAACTATATTCTTATCTTTTACGACTTTTTTATTTATAAGGTTTTTAAAAAATTTGTTTAACTTTACTTTTCATATCTTATCATTCTTATTATTAACTACAATGTGTAAATGATATCTCGTGATATAGCATATAGATTCATTATTCATTAATTAAACCTTGTTTTCTTATACATTATTATCATCTATATTTGCTTCTTGTTTTTATTTAGAAAAATATATTTAATGAAGGATACATTTTAGTCAAAACAAAAATACTTTAATCGATATAAAATAGATCTATGTTAAAAATAAAACAAATTTATATATGATAAGTAAACTTGTCGAATTTTTTTTTATAGAATATTTAATTATCAGATGAGAACTTTTTTTTTTATATAAATTACTGAAAGTATTCTGATAGACAGACTCTTACTTATTCAAATTTAGATTTGTTATGTTGTTTCATTTTAAATATTGTTTTAATTCAAATTATTAATAAATCGATATACATGTTTTTCCATTAGTAACTGTTATTTTCGTTCGATTCATATCTAATCGTTTATGATATGTGTAAAAGAAAAAGTGTTTATTATCATTAACAGTTGAGTTCAATGCATCTGTCCAGGCCATTGATTATTCATTTTCAAATCATCGAGTCTCTTTAGTAAAATATCTTTATAAGACACTTGATTCGAGTTTCAACGAATAATATAAACAATACAGATAAATACTATGATTAATTAATCTAAACGAAAAAAAATTTTTTTTTTCATGGGATGATGTCAAATCAAGGATATATAAACAAGGTTAAACGTATTTCAATTGTCATCAAATATATGATGAATAAAGAAAAGAATAAACATAAATGACACACTTTTAAAGTGATTAGACAAATATTAAAACAAGTTTAAGAACGTTTTCGTGAGTGTTATTTTTTATAAAATAAGTGCATGAAAAACGAATAGACATTTGTTTTTCTTTAGAAAGTAGAAACTGAGTGATAAAAACAAATTCAAGTATCGTTATATTATTACACATTGAGAAAATTAGATAATAATGTTAAATGAACAATTTAATTTAAATCATGTTAGAAGACAGAAAGATAATTTATCAAATGGTGACAAATTTTTCGATATATTAGGAAAAATTAATAAATTTCTGGATTATACATTGTCAAAACCAATGGAGATATATGATGATATTGTGAATAATATTTATGAATTAGTTACTAACAGTCCAGACATGTGTGCAATGTGTACGTGTATAGTTATAACAACAACAATATCTGTTACAAGTATTGCTGTCGGTGTCGGCATTGGTGTGGGCGTAGGATGTGCACCATAAGATTCTACTAGCTCAAAGTCACAGAACGTTTAATTGTTCATATTATAATAATTTCATAAAAAAAAAAACTGAATTGATTTTTATTTTATCTTTATATTATTTATTATGTAACCAAGATTTATATATTGATAAATACTCTAAATGTTATTTTTCTTTTTTTATTTGTTCTATTGCAATAAAGAATAAAAATTTATGAAGTAGTTAAGTTAAGAAGAATATTGAAAAAAATAAATCATCAAAATCGATAATCGTATACAATAGATACCAAAATTATTCAACAAGATTTATTTTTCGCTACCGTAAGCGTTAAAGAATTCGAATAGCAAAAAATCGCTTTCAACACGAATATGAAGCCATCTAAATTATTATCTGATTCTCAATGATAGGAAACTTCAGACAAGCAAAAGAATAGGTTTTGCAGCATTTACAATGCATCAGTATAATGTCGTTTGGATTATATAGAACGATAGAGTAAATATATTATTTACAAAATGGGACATCACCGATTTCACTGGCATATTTTTCGACTAAAACAAATCAATTTGATTAAATATGAAATAATCGCTGTTCTATAAGAAAGAGTGAAAAGAACAAGACATCATCTGTTTTCGTATGATTGTTATATTTCAGCTAAAAAAACCGTACAGAAAACTTGAAGATGTCTTATTTTGAAAATAATTATGTATTCTAAGTACTGAAAAATTAATCTTTTATTTGAATCATTACTTGGATTCTTTCTAACGTTTATGATAGTGAAGAAAAAAGTAGAAAATAAAACTTGTCGAATAATTTTGTTCCTCATTGTCTATGATCATAATTTGAAACTAAATAGAATAACAAATGAATATTAGTTTCCATCATAAATCAAATTATACTGAATTTTTAATATTTAATATTCTCAGAAACTCTATATGTTTCCAAGCCTAATTAATCTAAGTGTTTTTTTATTTCAATAAAACTCATAAGTATTTGATTTATTTAACAAAATATAAAAGATAAACAGATTCTATTGAACACTCGTCAATTAAAATAGGAAGAAAATTAAAATATTATTTAGACGTTTAAAAACAAAAATTTATTATGAAAATAATAGATACAAATGCTAAATAAAAATGAATTAACGTATCAATAAATATTTTTAAATAAAATTAGTTCATCTAAAACTCTAGTAAATATTGTTCGATTATTTTTTTTGCACAATTAATGTTCAAATAATACAATTAACCAGCAGTACTAGAATTAAAAGCCGTTGTATTGGCTAATATAGTAGAGACTGTTGTACCGGCTGTATCAGCGACGGTCGCTATACCAGCTACAGTAGTAGTGATTGCTGCCTTATTAAGTGCTGCTGGATCGGTTACATTAGATGTGCTTGCAACAGCACCTCGTGATTTCTTACAACTCAATCCGACACCAAGTCCTACACCTAATCCGATTCCAACGGAAGATCCTATAGCAATAAACGAACAAAGACAGCACATGGAACATAATGCTGAACTTATTGACCAGAAATCTAATGATATTCCAAATTTCTCCAATATCAACCGTGGAAGACCAACAAAAAGATCCCATATATGTCCTAAGAATTCTCCGATTTCCATAATCTTTTGCCATGTAGTTAGCTGTTTCTTCCCTTGATACCGACCGTTTGTTGGTGCAAGATAATTCATTATTGTTTTCTACAAATTCAAATAAATTATAATCAAATAAAATTAATAATAATAATGTTTCTTCTTTTATTTTAGAGCCACTTGGCTTTATCTATTCGGCGTGATGAAACTAGACTGTTAGCCAAAGTAAAATATTTGATATGACATATAAATCGCATAGGAAGGTTATATCAAAACGTTTTTTTTTTATTCGTTAGGGCAGTCGAAGCATAAAGAAATACAGTATTCTTATACTTCACATCTGTCGTTTACACAGTGACAACAAACCCTGGGAAAAATTACCTGTCTACACTGTGATATAGTGTTTGAAAGAAAAACAGAATACAGCCAATTGAATTGTATTATTGTCTGTACTTCGTCGAATTAACGAGAAATAGACCGTCAAGGACAAGATAACATAACATTACGAATCATTAACATGAGAGAAAAATTTATTAATTACACTATTCAAAGAATAAAAAAACAATTATATGGAACACAAATTTGAAAAGGGCTCATCTTAGCAATGCACTAAAACACATGAGAATATCATTGAAAAACTTGCTACGTTTTTTTCTCACCGATCATTTTAAACACAAAATTATAAAACCTTTGATAAACCAAAAGAACCTTTTCCAACACTGGAATCTTGAACATATCTTAAAACCCTGAATTTACATATTGCATAAACAATAAAAATCTGGCACATTATTATAGGTATCATCTTTCGAACAAACATCTGATACAAAGTAGTCTCTTGATTGAATATATCATTACCAACAACTTATTATCGGAAAAACATGATTTTCTACAAAACACCCTATGCCATCAAAAACGCGACAAAATTGTCGGTCTTTATGGATTAATCCAATACAAGATGGTTCATGAATAAACTATTTTTGAACACTTATTCTATGTAGATCAATGCAGATTCATTCATAAGGTTCGTTTCGACTTACACTTAGTATTTTCTTAGATGACAAATGAGAATCATCTGTGAAAAACTATCCATGTATTTCATTTTACTTGATTACAGGTAAAGCTTCTTTTCCGTTATCAAAAAAAAATACTTAACAGTAATGTTTGCTTATCCTTTTTCTACAAAAAAATATCTGCAAATGAATGTTTACCACTAACCAATAAGAGAGTCCATTTAATTGAATTGATATAGAGGTACTCCATTCTTTTTTATTGTTGTGTTATTTATCGACCACCTGTAATGTTTTTGATGATCTGGCGTGTTCATAATATTTGAATCTATGATTACGGCTATGCCTCAATGCGAATACTACTCTCTTTTATCATCATGCTCACACTTGTTTCTAAATGTATGAGAAGAGGAATGATTTTTCGCAATACCGTCTGTATACTGCAGTCCTGTTAAGAATTAGTAGTAGCGTTTAGTATTTTCGGTTTCAGCTATAAACGATTTAGAGTATTTTTACTTAAATTCGAATTTGGTATTACAAGCAATTCAAATTCACTGAGACAAAAAAAACATTTTCACAATACATTATACGAGTAAAAGATTTTGCATGACCTTCTATAATAAAACATTTATCTCAGAATTGGAGTTGATCAGAGTTCTATGGCTGACACAAGCAGCTCTGAAGCATCAACAATATCTAGAATACGACAAAATTCATTTGATTCTGTCAGTTTTAATAGGCATAAAAAATGTACATCCTCTTTGAATAGAAATGTACGGCACCAATTTTTCTTAGTTCTGATCTCAGTCCCGATCTGGAGAAAACTATTTTCAAAATTTATTTGTGTTACTTGTAAAATAACTCTTCCATATTGCTCTTTTTTTATTTATTTGCTTGACAACTAGCCCTTTTTCGAATCATTTATCTTGAATTACGTTCTGATTCCTTTTATTTACGAGAGAATTTGATTAAGACCATATAATATTTTGCTATAAACGTGACTTCTGTCCCAAAGTGTTTGGATCGGTGATCTACCATCTATTCACTTGGCTAAAGAGTAGATAAATTCACTCACACCCACACTTAATCTCTGTTCAAGCCTCTCTTGATACTTGACAGCTGATTGTTGACTTCAAATAGAAGAAATAATCTAGTAGAAATATTTTTGTAAAGCAATTTAATAACAGTAGAAGAGAAAGAGAAGTGTCCATACAATGGCTCTGATCACGACGAAATTCGATGACTAAACTCTAACAATAGAACGAAAACAACGCAAAGTGCATATTGTCATAACGATGCATACCATTGTGCACTCTGTGCAGTGGGTTTTTTCCCACTTCGCGATTCTTTTAAAAAGTGAGACAAAGCAACGAAAACTTACTTGTCAGTGATTTGCTTGTGAAACTGCAATAATTCTATTTCGCAAGTGACACTTTTCTCATTTGAACACAATTAGGCATTTGATAATCAAATATTACTGTTATGGATAGAGTATTATCTATCAACCAACAACTTTTAATAGTCGACGCATTTAATCATTTACTGAATTGCTTTGGTGGTCTGACATGGAATACGATCGTATTATTCACGTTGAAGTTTTTAAAAGAGCTGAATACACCATCACCATTTTATAAATGTACAAATCATCCATTTCTAAATTATTTCTACAGTTCATATTTTGCTGATGGTATGTTAAAGAAACCGAGTGTCTATGTAGATTGTATATTTACGAAAGACTTTCACAGTTCTTATTTTTACTACTTTAGGAGGATTCATAACAGAAATGCTCATTCCATTACTAAGCCGAGTCAATATTCTATTCATCGTATGGATTACTTTTAAGTAATATTTATGGATAGAATATGATTTAAAGACATCTTCTGACTATCTTTCTAAATTGTAGAGCAACCACATTTTATCATTTATATTATCCAATACTAAAGCCATTCATTGATGGAACTGTAAGATCATGTTCTTTCTGATAAAACGTAGTCGGTGTACACTTGCTAGGAAATATTTGCAGGAAACACTAATAAATGAAATACAGAATACAACAGAAAATAATGCATCGAACGATGAAGATTCAATAACTGAGGTAAGTGATCTGATTTTTAGAAGTTATGAAGTTATTATGATTGTTTTGTCATATGCCTATTTGTACTTAGGACAATAACTGATCTCTATGCTAACTAAAATTCATTGAGAATATACTGTGTTTTCCGTCAAATATTATTAAAATCTCTCAACATGACGAATACCAGAAAATAACAAGATTTCTCCTATATCAGTAGTATTTTCTATGAGCAGAAACTAAATATAAGCGAATAAGCCTAAAACTTACTTTGTAATCGATAGGTTCTTCACTCTATGTATCAGAATTACGGGTTGAGCGACGTTCTTGTTATAATATATTCTTCCTACTGGAGTAGAAAACGAAAAACGGTGTAAAAAAAACAGTCACTATTTGGTACGGCTCATAACTACACTTATACTGTCTTCAAATTATCAAGTTCAAAATTTATTTGATCCGACTATTTTACACAGTATGAGTGAATATTTTGGAAGTTGCCAACTGTTTTGATCTTGTTAATGCATAGCTTGAAAAATAATTGTCAAAAATAAACTGTAAAAGTTCTTGAGAGTAAATTGCTCGCATCATCGTTGGACTTCACAATAATTTTATGTAACAACTTGTTTTTGAGTCTTTCGTAGTTCATTTCTTCTAGTTCGACGAACCTTTTCTTGAGATCGTTTCTTCCTTGTTTTTCGACATATTATTCATAAGGTATGAATATGCTTCATCCTAGGTTTAGTTAAAGATTCAATCTTAAAGGCGATCTATTCTATTTCTGGCTCATATTCATTTTCTGACATGCTGGTTTTCAAAATGGATGACATGACAGACCTGAAAATCGTTTTATATCAACAAATGCATATAAGCCAGAAAAGAGAAAAGTGTGGATGTGTAGCTATTATTTTGGATGAGCATAGGCGCAAACAAGATCTGCGAAATACACTCACCCACACGCAATCAGTCTCACATCAAGACCAAAAGAAATCGACGGCGGACCTGATTTGGGGTGTGAATCGATGTCGGTGTGGTTGCGGATGGGTCTGAGTTTTATTCTTTACCATATCATTTGATAGCGACAAGGTAATGATGATCTGTGCCATTCGATGAGCATAGTTGAAATAAATTGAGACATCCTTGCACTTAGTTAAACGAATTTCTTTGGGAATATGTTTCGTGATATAGGCATATATCGTAGTTGCTAGCTAGTCTCAATAAATTCTTATAATAATAATGACAGATGAATACATTACAGAATAAAATAACTATTGAAAATATGAAAGATTGTTTGTAGTATACATATGACTGTATGAACACTGTAATTTGATCTTAAGAAATCATCAAATTATGAACGTAATTAGTATATGTGTTATTTGTTGTTGTTTTCAATCTGTTCTACTGCTATTATCAGACCATTTTTCTTTTTAGATAGGGGCACAACCAGTAGAAGATGAGTTTGGTCATAACTATACCGAAGAAGAATTACCAGTAAATATCATTAGCATTGAATTGAAATATTCGAAGATAATTTTACTGGACTACTTCGAAATTTTCATTTTTTGTAGGTGATTGCTGACACACACTAATAACAAGATATATTTTCATGTAAAATGACAGATAGAATCTATTGATATACGTGTATTTTCCTCTATATCTACACTCATTTTGTTCGTTGTTTCAACAATGATTTACAAGGTTGCTTTTAAAGTTCTTATTCTACGACTTAATTGACAATTGTTTCTCAAAATCCAAAATGAAATGAATTTCAAAACTCAAAATTGATATATACTTCACTGTTACGAATTCAAAATGATCGAAAATAAAATTGCATATGTTGTATTTGTATCCATAGTTATACTTAGTTCATTCAATAGGCTATATTACTTCAAAGAAAGTATTTACTATTCACAGTCATAATATTCACTACTCATTAAATGTATTCAAACATTTTTTTAGTAACTCTCAACATTGTCAAGTGTAACATGTATCTTATTCTGTCAATTTACAATAGATTTTCTGTT